ACACACACACACACACACACACACACACACACACACACACACACACAAGGTGGGGGGCAATTAAGTATAAGCCTGAATCAGTATCATAAATTAGAGAATAATCAAAAAGGAAAGCAAAGAGACACTAGATTCCACAGACACCATATGCACTGTCTGAGGCAGGACTACCACTGCTCTCTAGAGGCTGCAGTGGAGGCACAGCAGAGCAGCCAGGCAGCGTCCAAAGGCAGGAAAGCCCGGCTCGACGTCAACCCATCTGTCTTGAACAGGATTTCCTTGTGATCCTTGTTTCTACTTCCCTAATCTTTTCTAGTCATTTCAGAGTACCACAGCCGACTCCTGAATCAAAGACTGGCTACTAGAGCGACCAGGCAGTGGGACAGTAGCTCCTGGGGGGGAGGGGGTGTCCCTCCCTTTCTCCATGTCTGCATTTAGAAGGCTTCAATCTGCTGAAGCAGCTCTAAGGACAACTGAGAAGACCTCCTCCCACAGGCACTACCTGTTGCCATTCTTACATTTCCAGGCAAATAATTCCACCCACAATAATCAACTCTTACATTTAAAAATGGCATTCCAAGGTTGAGCACAGCCTTCCCTAACCCCCTGCCCCACAGCCTAACTTAGAGAGTACTCCCAGCAGGCAGCTAATGAGCCCCCACATGCTGCTGGACCTTTCTGAGCAGCTTGTGGAAGACATGCTTCATGTCTGCCATATCTAGAAGTAAACAACATTTTGAGTTTTAAGTTCCTTCACACACAGCCTGTCAACTGCTGAGACAACGGTAGAGAGGAGCATAGGTAAGCCACTGAAAGAGCAATGAAACAAGCCACTGGTGCCATCATGCTCACTTACAACCTTGCTGTTGTGTGAGCATGGTCACGCCCAGCTTCCTACCTGACTCAGAGGAGGAGCGAAAGATGTCAGCAGTGACCATGCAGTAAATGCTTATGAGCTCTTTCCTCCTAAGGGACATTATTTTACAGTCAAATGAAAGGGGGAGAGCAGGGAAGGAGAAAGCTACCTGGGGTGAAAATGATCAGTATACATTATATTCGTGCATGAAAACACCATAATGAAATCCATTATTTCATGCAATTAACATGCACTGATAAAACAAATGGGTAAGAGAGGTGATAAAGTGTATCCTTCAAACCTCTCAAAGAAACAAATAACCAGGAGGAAAAATATTCATTATTAAAACCTTAGAGCTTCTGAGATCTAAGTGAGCCAAATGGAACAAGAAAACATACTTACTTTTCAAAAATACCTTTCATTTTATATCAACCATAGCATAAATAAATGAATTAGTAATTCAAGAGTATTAAATGTTCATGTCTCAAGGTTGCTCACAGTTGAGTGAAGAAAAGCAACTCTGAGGTGATCCACATGTGAATAGGTGGACCATTTCCACCCACACATAACAGGCACACCAAAGTGAGTAGAGGGGGAATGAAGGTTGTGGACAAAGGTGGCTGTGGTGCAGTTGCTGATCTTCTGTCCTAATTCTCCAGGGGAAAACCATGGTTTATAAAGGACATCAACAGCAGTGACGATACCTCTGCGCTGGTGATGGATGCTCTCCACAGGCCCAGGTTCTCACACCACCAGTCTGTTCTTGCCATGTGCAGCTGAAGATCTGTGCATTCTTTCTCTATTAGCAGTATTTCATCCTTCAATTTGGAAATAATCTACCACAAGAAAAACAGCCTGGGAGTTACGCAAACAGTTCAAAGATTATGCACGTCAGCAAGGTAGGAGAATACAAAATCAACACACATAACACTGTGCTTCTTTAGGCTAACACAAAATAATCCAAAAAAGAAAACAAACAAACAAACAAAAAAAACACCAGCACCTGAAAGAATAAAATTCTCAGGTATTAGCTAAGAAAACAAAAGAGTTCTATTAACAAAAAAATATATTAAACACCAATAAAGAATGATTTAAAATAACAAATACTTGCGAAGAGATCCTAAGTTCATGACCTGGAAGACTTGATATTGTTGCAATAACAGTGATGTCACTGCAGCCCACACATGTGATTCAATCACTACCATAATTTCAATGGCAGAAATACAAATATCTATCCCTAAGTTCATATGGGAAAGTCCTCAACCCAAAGAATTATGAAAAATAAGAAAAAGTTGGAGGACTCACACTCTCTGACTTCCAAACTTATAAAACGACAGTCTCCAAAGCAGGTGGGACTAGCATACGGAAAGACATGAAGACCAGGGTCCACAGCCCCGAATAAGAGCTCAGCCATTTGGCCATGTGATTTCCAATGAGGGTACCAAGAGCCTTTCAACAAATGGCAACAGAAAACTAGATACCTCCTTGTAGGACAACAATTAACTAAGAATGGACTAGAGACAAAAGCACAAAATCTACAAAGTAAAACCAGAGAAATGTCCTGTGCTGCTAAATTTAGCATCAATATCTTGGTATGGCACCAAAGGTACAGGTGACAAAAGCAAGAAACAAAAGTATTTTTCAATTCTACAAAAATAGTGAAGAGGCCAAGCACAGAATGAGAGAAAATACTTACATATAACATACTCGATACAGCTTTGATGGTCAAAACATAAAGAGAACTTCTGGAATTCAGTAACAACACAAAACAACCTAATTTAAGAATGGGGAAAGGGCTTGCATACACATTTTTTTCAAAGAAAACATATGAATGGCTAGTAGGCATGTGAAAACATGACCAATGGCACTAACAAGAAGGGAAATGCAAGTCAAAATATGAGGTCCTCTTTACTGGGGACTATCAAAAATTTTAAAAGGAGAAAGAGGAAAAATAAAAGGTAGAGACTAGATGCCTTCTTTGTTGTAAAATGGTACAAATGCTGGAAATAGTATGGTTGTTGGCTTATAGTCCCAAAATTGATAAAAGCAAGAGTCACCAGAGACTCCTACAATTGTACTTCTGGGTATGGATCTAAAAGAACCGGAAACGGGATTTTCAGGTGACATTTGAATATCAGTGCTCCATGTCCACAGGGAGCAGAGTGTCCAGAGGGAGCACTATGTCCACAGGGAGCAGAGTGTCCAGAGGGAGCACTATGTCCACAGGGAGCAGAGTGTCTGTGGGAAGCACTGTCTCTATGGGGAGCACCGTGTCCACGGGGAGCACCGCGTCTATGGCCCTGTCCTTGACATTGACATCAATGGGCCATGGCTTTATTTCCACACAGCCAGTAAGTGTGACTCTTGAGGACTGGAGGCACACTGTCACACTGGCTTCGCATGTGCACAGGGAGAAGCCACAAGTTGATGACAGGTGTTTTCTTCAACTGGCTCACTGCTTCATCTTGGCTAGCCGGGCTGGCCACAGAGCTTTACAGAAAAGCCTGTTTGCCACCCCAGCACTGGGGGATACAGATGCATATCGGTCATGCATGACCTTTTACATGGGGATTAGGGATTTGAACTTGGGTCTTCATGCTTGTGCAGCAAAACCTTTACTGACTGAGCCATTTTGGCAGTTCCACGTTTTGCAGTGATCAGCAGGGCACCATGCCTTTATGCCAAGCTTCTATAGAACTCTCCCCAGTGAGTGATTTACTCCCAATAACAACTCACAGTTGGCTTCAGAATCAGAATATCTCGAGAAATACAGTAAACCCTGGGCCAACTTTGCATTCAGCTGCTAACGAAAATATTGGTCAAGAGATCTGAAAGGCAAAGTGGCAAGCCAAGCCTTAAGTGAGGGAGGACCACTAGCTATCACACACAGAGAAAATGCTGATTCATATTTAACTCAGAAAAAAAAAAAAATCCTGGTTTTCTGGCAGGCTGTTAGTTGCTAGATTAGCAAAGTCTTTTCAACATCAATCTAAAAGAATTAACGGATGAATGAATGAATGCCCGCCTGTGAGACATATTTTACATATTTAATGTTCTCCAACCTGAATGACTTAAAAGGCAGACAAGGCTCCTCCTGGAGCCCCAGCTCTGAGCACACCTGTCAGGACTGAGGGCTCCCTACACATCCCAGGGACAATTTGATTTAATAAGAAATGTGGAATGCCCCCATTGGGATCTCAGATTAGTGTGCAAATTATGCCATCACATCCCTGAAGTCTCCAATCACTTGAGAGTGCCTTCATGTAATTATGGCTCAGAATGTTTAGCCCACAACTATTAGAAATTTTCTCAAGAAAGGCTAATGAATGTTTCTTGGGCAACTGATGACCCAAAAACAGAACTTCCTGAACACTCTCCAACTCATCCTTCATACAGCTAGCTGGAAACACATTTAATTCAAAATTAAGTAAATCCAGATTAAACCCAACTGTTCTGGAAAAGCCTGATTATCCGCTGTGCCCACTAATTCTGTCTGCCATGTCAGGGGTGTCAGCAGAGACTCCATGGCTCTCCGTGTTCCAAAAACACTAGCTAGGAATGGCTCCATGTTGAATAAAAAGAAATGCATTTCTTATGATGACAACGGAAACCTAGTATTTGTTTCCTTTTCTTGGTGCCACCAAGGGTGATTAAAGCAATTTCCTAACTTCTCTTTCCCTCACAACTCTGGAAAAGTATTAGAACTAACAGGTAAGGCTCTTTAGGGCTTTCTTCCTGTCTTTCTTTAAAGAAAACCCACTGCTCTAATTGAACACTGACCGGATTATAAATGAATCAGTATTTTGACTGTAGGTTCTTAAAATGCTTGTACTAATTTGGTTTTCTTACAATACTGTTTCAGAAATACTCTATTATAAAATCATTTGAATATATGTGAAAGAAGCATTAAAGAAGTACCAAAGATAAAAGCCCAACGTGATTCATTAAAATTTGTTTTACTCCAAAGTTTCTTTCCTCAACACATTCAGGAAAAGAGGAGACACATGTTGTAGAGCAAATCACACCTACACATTAAAAGCTTTGTTGGACTCCAAAGAGACATTTTTTTAAAAAATGGAAAAAAAGACAGTCTCAATCTGTGAGCTACTCTTTTACATACAAAAAATAAAAGTAAGGGTGTATATGTATGAATGTGCACATGTGTAAACATATGTGGGGTCACAGGTCAAACTCAGGTGTCTTTCAACGGCCTGACACTTTGAGAGCAGGTATCTCACTGAACCTGCAGTGTAGAATGCCTGGCCAACAGGCTCCTAGGATCTGCCCATGTGTCTCATTAATGCTGTCCCTGTCTCCTATAGGCACATCACCTCATGCCTGGCTTAAGTGCAGGGAATCTAAACTCCAGCTCTCACACTTGTATATCAAGCACTTTTCCCCACAAGGCCCTTCCTGTTTCCATTGCTTATATTAAAAAAAAGATTTATTTTTATTGTATGTATATGGCTGTTTTGCCTGTACGTACGTTGGCAATCCACTTGCATGCAGTCCCCAAAGGGGCCAGAGAGGACATCAAATCCTCTGTAACTGGGTTACAGATGGCTGTTAGCTGCCGTGTGGATTCTGGGAACCAAATCTGGATCCACTGCAAGAACAACAATTGCTCTTAACCACAGAGTCCTTGTTCTAGCCCGAAGTTGTGTATATTTTTTCTTTTTAAATTAATTTTTCCAAGATATAATTATTTTATTTTACATGTAGGAGTGTTTGCCTGCAGGTGTAACTGCATTGTCTGTGTGCCTGGTACCTGCAGAGGAAAGACGGGCAATCAGTATACCTTAGGACTAGAGTTGCAGAGAGTTGTGAACTGCCATATGGGTGCTGGGAATTGAACCCAGGTCCTCTGCAGGAATTGAAAATGCTTTTAACTACTGAGCCATCTCTCCAGTCACTAGAATACTGCAGAACATTAACAGTGCCTTTCCCCCTTTCCTAGCAAAGAGAAGAATCAAATTATTTGGAACCAACATAACAGGTGTTCAGAATTGCAGTGAAAGGGGAAATAGCTAACATTTTAAAATTTTCAATCCTGTTGAATTTTTGCAAAAAAAAAAAAAAAATTTCCATAATTCTGTGAGGTTCTCTAAGCTATAGAAATACAAACTAACAAGGGAACTTGCTCCTGCCTACAGTTCTGAAGGGAGCTAACGCTTTTCAGCACAAACAGAAAACTACTATTTATCAAAGAAGACAGACTTTCAGAGACAGCCTTGAAAGCAAAACAGTTACCTTCTTATCAGGCTTTGGTGCATTTTGAATAGAACTCAGAGCTTGCCTTTTATACTCAAGCTTCTCACTTAGCTCTCGAAGTTTGTTTACAGCAAAGCTGGTCTGATCAGTAATCCCACTGGTGCCTTCTACTGCTTCCTCACCAGTCTCGCCTCCTGAGCCCTGGCAGAAAAACAGTAAGCCAACACATAAGGACAGAAGATCACTAGTCACCCATGTGCAACCGGGTCCCCAGATCACACATTCCCGAGGAGGGAAGAACACTGTAGAACAGCCTTTCAGCCTGCTTTTCTCCTTCCCCAGCAAAGAGAAGAATCCAGTTGTTTAGAAGCAGCCTAACAGGTGGTCAGGCTGAACGAAAGGAAAACATCTAGCAGCCCAAACAGGGGAGGAAACCCCACCGATGGATGCCCAAATGGTATGGCCAAGGTAACCTGTGCAGCAAGGGAAGGGCCAAGAGTGCCATCTCTTCAACTGGACAACTGGAATGCTCTCTCTTCCAGCTCCAAAGAACCCAGAAATCACCTCCCACTCTTCAAACACTATCAGGAAACACTTTAAAATAAAACGTCCAAATTTAACAAACTCAGTGGTATTTCTGTGGGCTTTTTGTTTTGTTTTGGGCATATTTTTGTCTTATTGGTCTTATTTGTCTGTTTTTAATTTCCATTTTTTCAGGGTTCTTTTGTGTTTTCTCTTCCTTTATTTCTGTTTTTTTGTTGTTTTTGTTGGAGGGGGGAGTAGGGTGACACTGAGACCATAACATTAAAGTTGTGTATTTGTGGGGGGGGTAAGAATCTGGGGCGAGCTGGGGGGGGGGGGGAAACATGAGCAAAATATTTAAATAAATAAATAAATTTAAAAGTGTTTAATGGAAAACTGTTCAAATCTGCACTACTAGCAGCATTTCAGTGTCACTTTCTTCAGCTCTTGAAAATGAGTTATGAAAACCAACATGTTTTACAGGTTAACAGCATTTGCAGTGTGATTTGGGAAAGCCTTGCGATCAAACAACAGATTACTCAGTTTCCACCTTCGGACACTGCAGGGAAATGTTCGGGACTCTCTTCTAGTCTTTTCTTCTTAACTTTCTCACAGATTGATTTCTTAGGGTTTTTAACTAATAGCGGCAAACAGTAAATTAATTTTTTTCAAGGGAAAATGAAAGTATTGTTAATTCTAGAAAACAAACTTTTCATTTTGGGATGGTCTTCCTTATTGTGTGAAAATATATACGTTATGACAAACTCCGACGCCCTGTCTGCACTCAAGTGAGGTCTCAGTCTTTCGTGAAGGCAAAGCTGCACATGTGAGGTGATTCCCATCAACCACTGCTCATCCGGGTGCCCTGCGTGCAGCCATCGCCGAGGTCTGCTCCTGCTGCTGCACTCGCTGGGCCTCAGCCGCCTCTCTCTGCTCATAGGAACTAAAACAAATTCCACCAGGCAGGGACAGTGTTCCTACAGTTCAGTTATTTCAAACCTTTCTTCCCAGTATTTGGTCATAACAAGACGTCCCCCTAACACGGAAGAGCGGGCGGGAAGGTGAGGCTTGACTGACCCGTTCGTCCTTATCCGAAGCCAGCTGCGAATCCTGCTTTTCTTCCTCTTTCACCATCAGCTTCTCGTACAGGTCGCTGACGATGAAGGAAGGGTAATACCTATCCCTCAGCGCCTCGTACACATCTCCTTGGAGTTTGCTGAACACCTCAATGCCCTTGTTTCCTACCAGACACTGCTGGATCTCTTTGTACAGTGACTTTTCCACAGGGATCTCCTTGCTTTCCACAAAGAAATTCTGATAGATTTCACCAACCAATTGTGGGATTTCATTCTGAAAAGACAGGAAGGTGAAGAGAGAGGAAGGTGAGAGATACTGTCTGAGAAATGATTTCCAGCAAGCTCACTACATGCTGACACTAAAAGGACAGCTTGTAGATGTAGCCTGGAACTGTAAACCTGGGGCTTGAGCCTTCTGCTTTCACAGTCAGGGTCCAGGGGAGAGAGCAGACCTTGAAATAAAACCTCCATATTTTCAAAATGCTGGAGAAAACAAGTTATAAATAAGACTGGCTCTCCTTATGCCAGATTCCTCAACCTCACAGAGACCTGACCTATAGATTAAAGTCATCCTGACTTTTATCTGGTGTTATAATGGGGCGTGACCACCTCACTAGCATGAAAACAAATTCTCACCCTAGAAAGAAGTCAGTAGAATAACCACACATAAAAAAAAAAAAACATGCCTGGTATTCTTCAGGGTTAACCCTTCAGAGTTAGGCTGTCCACATGGAACAGCCTAGTCCTGAGAGGTACACGGAAGGGGGGGGCTTCACTGCTACTCTACTAGAGAAATACAAACCTCTCTTCACATGCAGGCAATCCTCACGTGCTCCAGGGGTGCCCCTTAACTCTACAAACACTACAGACTTTTGGACAGTTGTAAAAACATGTCAACTAAATGAATATGGCCCATTTACCTGGCTGTCAGATCAAACTATGGCTATTCTCAGGAAGTGATCAAACTTTTATTTCATTGAAAATTTTCAAACTCTAGTCAATACTTTGGGGAGACACTTTAGATTAGTCTTTACACTATTCTTCTGAGAGCAGCCAAGAGTCAGCTGGAGTCGAGGCCAGTGATTATACTGAGTTACAAATGGTAATTTGAGCCTTCCAAATCAGCAATGAAAAGTATTCCCGAGATCTAAAACTATCTCAAGACTGAACTGAGCTGCTTAGTCCAATGTGTGCTATATCAGGTACTTAATTTGGTTTTCTGTTCTAGCAACATTCATATGCAAATGAAATTAAATGCTCTTTGCACTGCTGTTAATGAATCACTCATGCTATTTGTGAATTCAATGTATTTGGTAAACTTGTGAGTTAGACAGATTCACCTACACGAAGAATGCACAAACATTCTTTAATTCTCAAATACATATAAGAACTTATAAATTGCATTGTATAAACTATTTTTTTCTGTAAGAGGCATTTGAAACAAAAAATGTTTATGTTCCTATATTTAATCATATTTTTGTGAGATAAAAGGAAAAAAAAACTAATGTAAAAAGTATACATCACAAATAGAATAAAAAGCATAAAAATTGCACATGGTGATGAAATACACATGATGTTAGAGCAAGTTAATCAGGCTGAGGTGGCAGTGATAATAAGATAGTCTTTCATAAGCACAACATGAACGGGTACATATTTTTGTAGTTCACTAAAATGATGAAACCCAATCTTTTCGTACACTTGTAACTATCCCCCCTTGACTATTCAGTCAAAAGCATCTTCTATAAAAAATAAGGTACAATTTTATTTGCCCTAATAGGCTGAGATATGTTCTATTATGATGTAAAATGCTCCTTTAACACATACTTAACCTAAAGCTTCCTGGAGAAGGCGATATACTACCTATCATGCAAGCTTTCATTATCTGATGATTAATGTTCCTTACAGCATAGGTATACTACCTTGTTAGCATTCTTCAGGTGTTCCACAGCCTCCCAAAAGCCAATCAGAGTCCGCTTGTCCGTCCGCTCCATGTATGTTCCAAAGCGCTCTCGGTAGAAAGGATTGGTCATAATGTCTTCAAACTGAAGAATCTATTAAATATAACAGTTTGAATAAAAATGGATACCAGAGGCCTATGAGGAGTAGTGCTATTAGGAGGTATGGCCTTGTGGGAGTAAGTGTGGCTTTTGGAGTGTGTCAACTGGAGGTGGGCTTTGAGGTCTCAGATGCTCAAGCAATGCCCAGTGTCAATCTCTCTTCCTGCTGCCTGTCTACCTGGATGTGGAACTCTCAGCTAAATCTGCAGCACCATATCTGCCTGCAAACCACCATGTTTCTCACCATGAAGATAATGTACTAAACCTATGAACTGTAAGCAGCCCCAATTGAATGTTGCTTTATAAGAGTTACTGTGATCATGGACGGGGTCTCTTCATAGCAATAGAAACCTTATCTAAGACACAAAGGTTTCCTAAAGATCAATTGCAAATACCGGTCTGTTCTTAACTCCATGAATTAACTTCTACATTCAGTGCATTTTCAGTTCATAGACAATGTAATGTAATATACCTAATAAGATGAAATATCTATCACGCTCCTAAATTTTAAATTCAGATTACTGAACATTCAAAATACATATACTAAAAAAATCACTGATTTTATATTAAACATTTAGTCATTCAACAAATAATTATTTGACATATGTACTTGATATCAGGACACAGATAACAATACTTGTCCTAATGAGATACATGATACTAAAAGCAATAGTTGCCAATAATAAACAACTGAAGAGACATTTATAAAAGACTAGAGTCTGATGGTTTGGCATTTGTGTTTTCTGTCATATTTTATATAGGTAAGGAAAAATACAAATAAATTTGTATCCTGATTTTTTTTTTTGTTTATAGCACCACAGTCACTAACAAATCTTAAGTAAGTTTTATTTTTATTTTAACTGGCTCCTAAAACTCTACTATATAGGTTACCAAATCACTTCCATCACTCATTTATTGCTTTGTAAATTCACAGAAAAAGTGAACAGTGCATATCTGAAGATACAGAGGGAAGAACCATGAACAGGAGCTGCTGTAATAAGAGGAGGCAGAGGACCCTCATAATGATTGATGACTCAATCAGCAGAAATGCCACTAATTAATTTAGAAGTAATAACATTTAATAGGTAGAACTCAAATACAATTAGAAGCTTTTATTTTGAAATTCTTAAAAATTAACATGATGGCAATTTATAAATATTCTGAAATATCACTATTAACATATTTCTAACATCACATGCAAAAAGTCAGTACACACTCAACCCTTCTCTCACCAGCCCTTAGGCAGTCTGTGCACGTATTCAGAATATATTTTTAAGGAATTTCTGAAAACTAATGAAAGAAAATGACTTACTGAGTATTCAAAATGAAAATATTCAAACATACCAATTTTGTATTACTTACTGAGTCTTCAACTAAGTGCATTTTCTGTTTTGGTTTTTTCCATCTACTTTGCATCTTTTTACACTTACTTTCCATCTACTTCAGGAACAGAACCAGTTTCCCATAAAAGAAGCTAGTTGGTACAAATATTGTCAACCACAATGTACATCAAACAAACAGATGTGCAAGCTAACCTCAAAAAAAAAAAAAAAGGTCAGGCACACAGCGGCACCAGTGTGTAAGCACCACGGATCTTAATATTCTCTTTCCCCTTTATTTTTTCTGAACTCGTCAATCTTTCCATTGGGGATCATTTCTGTGTGTGCATGGGGCAGAGGAGGAGAGGGTCCTTGAACAGAGCAAGACAACAAGACAAAGATTTCTCTGTTTTCATGTGGCAATAAAACCTTTCAGTCCTGTAAGCTGTCACTCTGGCATTTGGCCTCAGCTCTTTAGAATCTGCAGAATGAAGAGGGTGCCCATACTTCACAGAGATTCATAATAGTTATGAATCACACACACACACACACAAAAAAAAAAAAAAAAAAAAAAAAACTGAGCAGGAGACTGAATCAAGAGTTTTTGAGAAAACAAATAATGATACATAAAATAAAATAGATATTGGTGTATTAAAAAACCAAAACTTCAGAGGTTCACTTTCTAGGCAAGGAAATATAAATGAAAGCATTAGCAGTTCAGAAAGGATTAAGAGTTCAGTTAAAACTGGAACCAGATTGGAGGGCGACTCAATGCTAGAATAAGTGCTTCATATACTCAACAAACACCTAGTGTTCAATTCCAAGCTCTGAAAGGGGGGAGGACAGACAGACACGAACACATGCACACACACACAACCTCTTTAAAGGCTTTATAAAATTAAACAGTGAAATGATCTAAGCCTACGGTTTTCTTTGGGGAAAAATTTTTAATTCTGAATTAATTTTCCTTAATACAATGAAGGCCATTCAGATTCTTCTTTTTGCCACTCTTAATATTTGGGAATTTTAAAGAATTAATCTATTTCATTAAAGTAACACATGCATTCACTTAAAACTGTATGCAGGTTACTCTCTTTTGAGATGCCCTCCACTCTTAGGTTTAGATTACTGCCCCTTCATCTGTGTGTGCTCGTGTGTGCGTGTGCACGCGGACATGCATGCATGTATGGGTGTACATTTGCACATGTGTGCAGTTGTGTGTGCCTCTGTAGACCAGGGATGGATGATGGGTGATTCCTTGGTCAGTGTCAGTTTTTCCGGATAGGGTCTGTCACTGGAACTCAGCTCCATGGCTAGACTGGCTGACCAGCAAGCTGCAGTCTGTCTGGCCCCTTCCCCTGGTGTTAAGATTATAGACAGATGCTACAGAGCCCAGCCTTTCATGTGGGTGTCAGGGATTCAAACTCGAGTTCTCTTATGTGCATGTGTGGCACGTATGTAACTGACTGAGCCATTTTCCCAGCCCCCGACTGTCCTTTTCTTAAGGTTTTCTCTCTCCTTTTCTCTGAGCCCCCATTAGTCAAGTCTACATTAATATTTTTCTGAAAATCCTCCATCTTTCACATGCAGTATCTGCTGACATCCCCTTTCTCTTTCTTACACAGTTTTCAGTGTTTCTCTTTCCTTCATTCTAGTTCTTTTAAGTTGTACCCGTTAAAGTGGATGGACCTTTATAGCACTAATCTCATACCTTTAGATTACAGACATTACAGTGTGTATTTTTCCTAAGTGTTGGTTTAACAGTATCCCACAGACACTAACACACATCCTCACTCCACTTAAGTTATTGATTTTCCTTTATGATTTCCTTTTGACTGAAGGCTTAGTTATGTTATTTTTAGTTCCAAAAATCAGGGAATTTTCTAGATCTTTTTCTATTATTCACTTCCAATTCTAATTCTACTGTGGACAGATAATAATCTCTGCATGAATTCCTTTAAATTTGGGGAGAATAACTGTATCATTCAGCAATATAATTTTTCTTAGCGGTTGCCTAGTGTATAAAAGTGAGAAAGCACACACACTGCTGTTTCCCGAGTAACTCTGGGAAATGTCTACTAGCTCCAGTTAGAGTTGCCGATGGCCAGGTCAGCTGTAGCCTTGCCCACATTCTGTAAGCCTGCTGTAACAATTGCTTAGAGAGGCTGATTAATGTCCACAACCATAACTGAACACTCTCCCATTCACTTGTTAGGTTGTGCTTTATGTCAATATTTCAACACTTCTTTATGTCAAAGAAGTTCTCTTATTGACTAAATACATAGTTAGGATTTCATGTTTTCTTCATGGCTTGATTCCTTTATCATAATATAATGTTCTTTATCTCTGGTTATATTCCTTGTTCTGAAATCTGTTGTGGATTTTAACAACAACACAAAAACAAATATGTTTTTGTTCAGGTGTGGGATGTGGGACTGATTCAGATAGGCCACAGCAGCAGACTATTTGCCTCCCTTGGGCTCTGAGAGGAGCTCTTTGCCAGCTACAGAGAGTTTAAATCTAAGGATTCTAGAGAGAGGGTGGACTCTTAGAGCCCAGAGAGTGGAGATCCAAGAAAGAACAATGCTGCCCTTACTTCCTCCTTGCTGTTCCTGGTTGCTGTTGTGAGACAAGAAGTTGGAGATCTCCTGAAAGGAGAACTGGACTGGCTGCAAGGAACCCCCCCCCCCCCCCCCAACCCTAACCAGCAGGAAACAGATAAGAGAATTGCAACCCTCTCCCATTAACCCTTTCTCTCTCCTACCTGGTGTTGGAAGGAATAGGAAGAATAGGAAGGAATAGGAATAGGGGTGGAATAGGAAGAAAAAGATAAAAGAAGCATAAATAAATGTGTGGTTTTTTTTTTTTTAAGTACACCAATAGAAATCTGTTTTGTCTGACATCAGCATTAGCTACCCCACGTTTCTTTTATTAGTGTTTACAGGACATGTCCTTCTCTTTCTTACTTTTTAATCCAAATGTTTCCTTATAGTTCATTTCTTATAAGGAACATACTTTCCCAGCCTTTTAACATGCTGACAATCTCTTTCTTTTACACTGGATGGCCTAACTAATTTAGAAGTGAATATTTTGAAGTAAACTTGATGGTAATTCTTGACCACATTGAGATTAGGTATAGAAAAGTGTTCTCTCCATTGATGAAGACAAAAGTCAAATCAAACCAGTTTTAACTCCAGCAGAATAAACCACTATTGGGATTCTACAGTATTTCTGCATCTTTCAGACTTAAGAAACACTTTGGCTATAAGAATAAGCTCATGCTATAAAAAGTATGTTTCTTCTTTCCTGAGTATTTAGAAAGAATGAATTTAAAATGCAGCAAGCTTTGGACTGTCTTCTTGTAGCCATCATACGGCAACTTGCACAGAAATCACGTTCCCACCACTTTCCTGCACTATAACCTTAACACTGGAAAGCCATTAGGTTCCTCTCTTAGGTTCACATGTTGTATCTCTACTTGGCCATTTACGTTTCTATTTTATAATAAAATGTGATTCTTTGTAAATAGGCATTTTATCCTATTCCTTATTCTAGTCTAATAACCAATCAGTGAACCCTCAATCAGTGTCTGTTGAATGAGTGAATGAATTAAAATAATGGAAGAACACAAGATGAGTTCCTTCCCTGTGGTAAATATTGGTAGACATTAAGACAACAAAAACTGAGGGAAGAAGGCAAAACTCCACCTGCCAGGTCTCCTCTCCAACCCTCACCACAGTAAAGCTCCCATTTTCATCATAAAGCAGAATGCCAGAAAGTCCAGCTGTGAGCAGTCAGACAGACCATAATGTGGCTATCCCACTATCAAACAGAGGCTCCCTGAGACTGCACTGGTGCCACTTATGTAAGATGCTATAGAATTCTACCGTATAGGATGGCGACCTTCCTGAAGAGCTCTGATGAAGAGCAAGTCCAGAACAGAGAGGAACATGAGCTCATCCTAGAAGAGGGAGGCAGGGGAAGCATACCACGCACCTGGTTCAGACACACACACAGTTAGGGACGCAGACTCCAAGTCAGGGAAAAGAAAAACTGGAGGCTGCTGCCGGGTTAAACTACAGCACTGGTTTCTTTGTGGCCGATATCTGATGAAAGAGGGATTTGGCATTTGCGGTGAAGCCCTGCTCCTTCAGCTCCTTGGGACACACTGCAGCGGTGTCCTCCATCCAAACTTTTTCCAGGTCTCAGAAAACAAGTGTAGTCCCTGCACCTAAAATAGTTCCTAAAATGGGGCCAGAAAGTATCCCTGTCCTCTGCAGGTTTTAATCGCTATCACCAGACAGTCTAACATGCTATGACACAAAAACTGGCAGTGCCATGCTATGGTGTAGTCAACAGATTTGTGAATCAAACACACTGCCACTCCATTATCTAAAGACCAAGAAAATAGCTCGCAGCAATTTGGCCAGAGCTAAGTGAAGTAGTCTCTCCTTCCTAGGAGGTACTTTTGATCTAGTTGTTAAAGGGTGACTTTGATCAAGGCCCTACGAACAGAATATGTTTCTCTTGAAGTTTCTCTTGAAGAAGGTACACATACATCTGCCTATCATCAACTGCCATTTACAGGATTTAAGGACAGCCAGGAAAGGTAGCTTTTCCTCATGAAACATGCCTTAAACACTAAAGTGGTAGGGGGGTGATATGCTCTGTTTATAATAAATTGATATGGTCAAACAAGAGGCTGCAGATTCTACCTTCTGGCTCTGAGGCCCTTCTCCTTCATCCAAGGCCCCATCCTCTTGCTGGTCGTAGGCAGGGCCTCCCAGGACGCGGATCCTCTTCTCACACTGCTTCTTTGCCACTGTCAGCTGGTTAATGTACCTTTTCATGTTCCTGGCCCTCAAGAGGTCTGTTTTCATGGCAGCTGATTCCTTACCTTGAATAAGAGGAATAGCAGTCAGTCAGGAGACAAGGAACACAAGAATCTGAGCCAGATTAGTGTTTGATATACTGCTTTTAATTTTTTAAACTGAATTTTATTTTATTTTTGAGGCAGGGTTTCACCATGTAGCCCTGACTGGCTTGGAGCTTGCTCTGAAGACTAGACTGGCACAGAAACCTGCCTGCCTCTGTATCCTGAGTGCTAGGATTAAAGGCATGAGCCATCACACCTGGCTTTGATGTGCTGTATTTCAAGCAACAGATGAGAATTCAATAGATGGAAATTCATTATAAACAAGTACAGGTTTATAAGTAAAAAATCTAACCATTTATAAATCTTACACAAGTGTAAAATGTTTATAAAACCTCTCCATATGTACACTCAGTAACTGATTTATGAACATATGAATATATAATATCTGACTATGGCTATTTATACATATTTATTTATAGGCATGTATTGAGCGTGCACCGTGTGTCTGTCAGGCACTGGCTTGACTTTTGAGATTCAAGGCCAGTTGTTTTACTTCATGGGACATTTTAGAGTCTAGTAAGGAAAAGAAACAAAGATAGCATAAACAATTAAAAGTATAATATGAGCATAAAGGAAAATATAGACATCCTCAAATGGTTTCACAAAGGTCTAGCCTGGGCTTTCTTAAGGACATTACATCCATGAAGACACAGAAAACAAACAGAACATGGCAGACAGAAGGACTAGCAAGACTAGAAGTGAGAACCCTGGACCATGAAAATGAGAACTTTGGGGCCTGTAGAGCAAATGTAAATACAGCTCAGATCCAGATGAACCTAAGGTAGTCAAAAGCCAGACGATGCCAGGGCAAGACTATGTTCTTCTATTCAAATGTACTGCAAGGCTTTTAATGGGCTGAGAGAGCTGCTGTCTTAGGGTTTCTACTGCTGTGATTAAACACCTGGACAAAAAGTAATTCGGGGAGAAAATTTATTTATTTATTCCATCTTACACTTCCACATCATTGTTAAGCCATACTTTTCCTTTCTTGTTCATACATAACACAGATGATACATAAACACAGTATCACAATATAAAGACTATTAAAAACTTTAAGATCCCACAGTCTTTATAAATTCAAACATATATAAAGCCCAATGTCTATTTAAAATATTTAAAATCTCTCTTAAAAAATCTAAAATCTCTCTAAAATTACAATATTTCTCTAAAACATCCAAAGTTTCTCTAAAATATCCAGTCTCTCTAAAACACCAGTATCTCTCTAAAATTCCAAAACTGTATTAAAAACTCTTAAAGTCTCTTAACTTTGTGTTCCTGTAAAATAAAAAAATAAGTTAAATATAAGTTACTCCAAGAGGAAGAAATAAGACCCAGACTCAATCCAAGCAAAGCAACACCAAAGTTCAAAAGTATAAAGAATTCAGTGCTTGCTGGACAGTAGTGGCGCATGCTTTTAATCCCGGCACTCGGGAGGCAGAGACAGGCGGATCTCTGTGAGTTCAAAGCCAGGCTGGCCTACAAGATCCAGGACAGCCAGGGCTGCACAGAGGCACCCCGTCTCAAAACAACAGCAAAAGGTTCAACAACAAGGAATGTAGTGCTTGACCCACTCACGATCCTCTGAGCTCCAAAGGGTTGGGAAGCTAGCTCCCCCTCTCTGGCCTGCCATCCCCAGCACACACACACACACACACACACACACACACACTCACAACTTTATCACCTAGGCTCAGGGCAGCTCCACTTCATGGCTGATGCTGTCCTGGTGTCATCCCATGGGTCCTGGCAGCTCTAAAATGCTGGGGTCTGCTATATCTGGGCTACACTTTCTCTGATAGCCTCTGCTAGAGCTCTCTTCAGGGACTCCAGCCCTGCCACACAGTACCAAGCCTCATCTGCTCTCCACAACCCCTTCATGCCATCAAAACCTGGGCACTCTTCCACATCACCAGGTGTGCCTGCTAGCATGAGATGCAGCATTTGCCCCCTCTGGATTGGCCTCTTCTTAACCACAGCTGGTTCTTCAGCCTCAGTTTAGTGGTGTTGCTTGTCTCAGAGAAACAAGAGTTCAACTTTAGTGGTTCTTAATTTAAAATATCAAATAGCTCCAATAATGTCTTTAAGGGACCCCCAAGCTTCCCTCTCAAGCCCCACAACTCAGGTCTCCTCCATCTGCACTGCTCACTGCATTGTCTTCTAAGTCCCCACATCTCATTAAACTCCGAGCAGTCAATGGATTCTCTAGCCCAAAGATGCACAAATCCTTCCACAATCCCCCAAAGAAACACACAGTCAGGTCTGTCATAGCAATACCCCAATTAACCTGTTAACAATTTCCGTCTTGGTTGGAGTTTCCTATTGTTGTGGTAAAACACCATGACATAAGCAACTTGGGGAGGGAAGGGTTTAGTTCACTTATGACTATTAGGTCACAGTCCATTGTTGAAAGAAGCCAGGGCAGGAAGTGATGTGGAGACCATACAGTGATGCTGCTTACTGGCTTGCTCCTCATGGCTTGCATAGCCTGCTTTTTTGTAGCACTCAGGATCCCCCGACACTAGGCAGTGCCAGCCTACTGGGTTGGGCCCTCCTCATCAGTCGTCAATCAAGAAATGCTCCACAGTTTTACCCACAGCCCAGTCTGGTGGGGGGCATTTTCTCAGTTGAGGTCTCATCTTCCAAAATCACTGTGTCAGGCTGACATAAATCAGCCAGCACATGTGCCATGGATGAGTTCAATTCCATCAGGTTTCATAAGAAGCAGGGTCCGACAGTGAGCGACTGTTGGCCTAAAGGAAAGGTCACTGGAAGACTGCCTTGGTAAGGCTGAGCTGAGAGGGAAGGAATTGGTAGTTCATGGCACTGATAGTTCAGAGGATTTAGGGATTTGAGGATTAAGAGCCAGTGGCTAACAGACAGACTAAAGGGCAAATAACTCAGAATTAAAAACAATAGAAGAGGCATTAAATGTGGCTTCTACAACTTTGCTATAATCACAATGGAGAAAGCGAGGCCCATTACTGGATCAGAAACATTAGAGAGAAACTGGATCTGCGGAAGATTACAAATTCAATTTTGGATTATGTGGTAGATATTCTCTACAAGTGGCCCCAATATTTTCCATCTCACATACTCCTTTTGCAATGCCATTCCTAGGAATTTCCCTATGGAAAGCAGGACATACGTCGTTCGGTGGGCTTACAGCCATGGTGGAAGTGACCTGCAGGTTTGTGACACTGCATGCCATCCACTGCCAAGGCATCCAGACTCTGGGGTCTGAAGAATCACTCCATGGAGACATCTATTACAGAGTGGAGCCTGACTCCCACAGACCTTGGCTTCACTGAGACTTTGGCACACATTAAGTTCCAGGTTGGCACCCCAGAAGTCCACCAGCTTGAGTGGGAATTACAATGGATGTCACATTAAACAGGAGAAAGGAATTCTTCCCAAAGCCCGCCCCAATACAGAATCACAAGCAAGAGTGAGAGCCATTGCTTAGGACAACTTAGGTCATGTTTGTGTGTGCATGCTAGCTAGTGTTCTGTCAGCCTGACACAAGACTCCCCTTAAGACAAGCCTGTATTACATTTTCTGGAGTCCTGTGGGAAGCTCCCTGTGGGCACTGCTATCTCTAGGCTGGTGTTCCTGGTTATTATAAGAAGTAGGCTGAGTAAGCCACGAGGAGCAAGCTAGTAGCAGCAATCCTTTGTGGTCTCAGCTTCGGTTTCTGTCTACAGGTTCCTACTCTGACTCCTCCTCCTGCTAGAATACAAATGTAAGCTAAAATAAATCCTTTCTTTGCCAAGATTGTGGTGTTTTATCACAGCACTAGAAACCCTAAGACAGTCATGCAGCAGCAAAAGATAACGTAGAAGAGGCAAATGTGGCTGGGGCTTTTCAGATACACACGTGGGAATATAAGGTTTCTTGACTCGTAAATGGTACATGAGTGGCTGAGACAATGCAAAGGGAAACAAAATATTCCAATAATGTTAACAAACCTTACACCTAATGTGACAGGGACACACAGGAGGATTATAGATATGGGTATAATTAGATACAGTTTATATACTTATTTTCTTTTCTCCACGTGTATGTGTGCATAGTATTAGAGTATATAGGTGTATCTGTGTGAGGGACATGTGTGTGTCTATATATGTGCATGTTTGTGCACATACATGTGTGTAGAAGCCCAAAGCAGATGTCAGAAATCCCCCTTAGTCACTCTTCTACCTTACTTTTTGAGGCAGTGTTTCGAGAGCCAGCTTGCTCTAGGGATCCCCATTTTCCAACTTCTAGGGAGAGAATTACAGGTGGGCCACCTTACCAGCCTGGCAGTGACATGGGTTCTGAGGATCCAAACTGCAGCCCTCGTTTCTGCAGCAAGCACTTTAAGCACTGAGCATTCTGCTCAGCCTCGTCTTATCTGTCCATAACTGAATGTTAGAGATCTCTCGGGTACTACTGTATGCACAGGAGACAGGGCAGTGTACAGGCAGACAGAGCTGGGCTGGGGAGGGAGATGGCTCAGTAGTGAAAGCACTGGCTGCACAAGCAAGGGGCTGCAGTGTGGATCCCTGTTTCTCTTCTTCAGAGCCAGAGTCCTTAGAGAAAGCACCCGAAGAATGTTAGCCTTATTGTTCCTGGCCTTTCAACCACATTTGACACAGTTCACTCACCAATTCAAGAAGTACTTGATGAGTCTAGGACAGAGGTGACCACTGCATTAAAAATACAAAGGTGACCCCTGGGAATGGCACCTGGTTTGCAGGAGTCAGAACACACTCTGAAGATGAATCATAATGCATTTGGTTAGGGTCTATATTTGCTTTCTCTCAAAGCACAGTCTGAGTAAGGTTTCTGCACATCTTCCCTGGAGACTTCAGCTCATGCCTTCCTTTGAGTCCCGCTTAGTCACCACATGTAATGCACAAGACAGTACCAAGGCAGACTGAGCACATCAGTATCGTGAAGCACTGTCAGGAGAAAAGTGGCCT